GACAAATACTGCTGAAGGACATATAAGAACACTGAAAAGTACCCACAGACTTTGGAAACAGAGAAGACCTTGACGAAAGCAACAAAGTCATAATTTCGAATGTGGCACAAGTTAATGTGTTTAATAATAACTTTATTCTATGCTGTCCCATAGAGTTGAATTAAAGCTGCTTTAGAAGAGAAGAGTTCACATTTGTCCTGTATTTACTTAAGGTGCAATCAAATACAGCAAAAGATATATCCAGCATTCTTCCAACCAGAAATCTTTATAACCAGCACACAATGACCTCAAAACAGTGCAAAATGCTGAGGTTAACTTCGGAATCATCAAATAAATCTAGATGTAATTTAAATATTGCAATTTCTTATTTTATTCTCATTCTTTGAGAATTAATAACACACGCTACAATTATATAAGGGAGCTAGAAATAATAATTACCAATTTGGTAATGACATAGGACTAAGAACCACCCCCCCGCCCCATTACATGGTATGCCTCAAGTCAACAGTTAATGTATTGCTTATCATGACTGTTAACTGTAAACAAGGTAAACACTCAAAGTTTTAATTTTGAGGCAAAAATTCTCTTTAAAAAATTAAACAATCAAAATAAGGGTTTTGGGGGTTCTCAATGTATTTTAAATTTTATTTTATACCTTAATATAGAAGATAATTCTAAATAATATATTAATTTGTGTCAAATTATTAAAACATACTTTAGACCTTATTATAAGCCATTCATTTAAAAAATATTAACTATTACAATTTTGTATCCAAAGGGAACCTCAAAATGTCATTTCTCCAGTATCTCTTACCTGGAAAAAAAGTTTAAACCGAGCAATGTCTTTCATTGTCATTACTAAAACTATATCCATATTTAATCAAAACAGATTATCAATTTTGCCAAGGTCACCTGGATTTCTCTTCTGAACTTATGAGGTGGTAGAAAATGCAATTACGAAAGAGGTCAATAAGTTGGGTGGATGGACAAGTCAAATATAATAAATACTTCAGAGGCTACTGACTGTTCAATCTGTGCCTTGGAAACAACATTCACTAAAGATGATCCACACCCATTTCCCACTTTGTCATTACTAATGTCATATAAAATGGAAACAAAAGTTCTGCTTTTGATTTATTTCCCTAAGGCCTATTATTCATCTAAGAAGCATATACTTTATCAAAAAGAGAAATTAAGTTAAATTGATAGAATTGGGTCTTCATAAAACCACACTAATTACTACCCAGTAGCTTGGGTCTTTTTGGCTTTTAAGTAATCAATCTATCGATTTTCAGTCTCTTAAATGCTTGAAAGATAACTTGAAATCTATATTTTTCGGAATGGTCATTATTCTATGAGCATGCTGTTAACGCCATTCTCGTCTTCAGCATGTCCTCCATCTTCCAGCATACGATCAGCAATTGTTTTGGGTCCATTCTCCTCTTAGGCAGGCCGCAGAGCAAACCTTCTGTATTTCATCAAATCTAAGATGCCCGTGAAATGTAAAACCCATCACTGTTTTATATACCATTTAAAAAAAAACTCTTGCCAATTCCTACTCCATAGCATATAGTTTTTGAACAAGCTCTTGTAGACACAGACATATTTCCTTCACTAACAGGATAATTACTCCCTGCTGTTGTTTCCATGCTATTCTGCCTACATGGCTTTTGTTTCAGTATCGAATCATAATAAAATCTTTTTAAGACATGTCGTACCAACAACGTGCAGAACTCAACTGAAGTACAGCATGGACAGCTTTGACCAGGTTTGACTTACACACAGAGAGACAACTGCATCCTATCTCCTGCTGGGCCTAAAGGTGCCATCAGGTGGAGAAGCGACCTTATTTCCAAATATCACAATGTAAAAAAATGTACACCACAGAATCAATGAAACATGGTAGCATAAAATCTATAAATATGTGTGTGTGCGTGTGTGTGTGTGTGTAGCCATTCAACCAGTACTCGTTAATACTCAAACTGAAAACCTCTTTTACACAATGTAATGAAATTTTTTTGCTGCCTTGTGAGTTTTAGGCCCTTATTAGGCACTAGGGAACAAAAAATCCAACAAAGTGATAGCCTTTGCCCTTGAAGGAACAACATAGAAAGAAATATTTGTAATACAAAATAAGAAGAGCCATATGAAATTATGACAAAGTACTATGGGAACAGAAAAGGGAATAATTAATTCTGCTTAGGGGAGCTGCATTACTATTCTGTGCCATAATTTTCATGAATGGCATTTTGGAAATGGAAAATCTCAATTTTCAAGAATGGCATTTCATTTTTATGTGCTCCAACTCTAGGAGATTTCTTGAATTTGGAACTTGAGTTCTCAGATACTACTACTCTTTGATTTACTATTATGAATATGAAAATAACAGTTCTCTGATGTTAAAAAAAAAAAAAAAAAAGTACAAAAAATGTTCCAAAAAGAAAAGTCAAGTCAAACTCATATTTTTTTGTGTGGGCAATTTAAAGCTTAGGGTATTTAGGACAATGTTTTCTTTCAATTTTAAATAATGAAATTATTTAAGTGAGGGAGACAATCTTACATGATGTAATGATCACTAGGTAACCTATTTTAAAAGAAATTTTAACGGCAATTAAAAACTCACCTTAATCTCTTCAACACATGGTACTGAAACAATTGTATATCCATATTTTTTTAAAAAGGAGCTTGAATTCGTACCTCACAAAAATAAACTCAAAATGAATTATATACCTAAATGTAAAAAATTAAAACTACAGAATTTCTAAAAGGAGACATAGGAGAAAAGCTTTGTGATCCTGATTAGGCAAAGATTTCTCAGATATAACACCAAAATCCCAATCTAAAAAAGAAAAGGTGATAAATAAGACTTCACTAAAATTAAGTTTCTTCTCTTCAAAAGACACTGTTAGAAAAACGAAGACAAATCACAAACTGCGAGAAAATATTTGCAAATCACATGTCTAATAAAAGACCCAAACACAGTATATAAAGAACTCTTCCGAAGATCAACGGAAATGCTCATCATTAGGCATTAGGGAAATGGAAATCAAAACCACGAAATATCACCTCATGTGCATTAGGATGCTAAAATCAAAAACACTGACAAAACCAAAGAATAACAATGATGTGAAGCAACTAAAACGCTCATATATTCCTGGTGGGAATGCAAAATGATACAGCTACTTTGAAAACTGGTTTAGAAGTTTCTTATAAAGTTAAAAATATACTTAACCATAAAATCCTGCAATCCTACTCCTAGATATTTACCCAGGTGAAATGAAAGCCTATGTTCACACAAAAACCTGGATGCAAAAGTTCACAATGGCTTTACTCAAAACCATCAGAAGCTGGAAACAACCCAAACGCACCTCTAGTGGAGAATGGATAAACTGTGGTATATCCATACAATGGAATACTACTTGGCAATGAAAAGGAACAATAACTCATTCACACAAGAACATAGATGATACATGCTAAGTGAAAGAAACCAGACTCAAAAGAGTATATACTGAAAGATTCCATTTACATGACATTCTTGCACTAGGAACAGAGCATAGGTTACTGGCTGCCAGCAGGGAGGGGTTTACCACCAAGGAGCACAAGGCAGAGAATAGGGGTGACTGAACTATTCTGTCTCTGGATTATCATGGTGGAAACATGATAATCTTTACACGAAACATGCAAAACTTTACACTAAAAAAGATGAATTTTAATGTATGTTAATTACATCTTAATTTTTTTAAAAAATACAAAATTCACACCGACTTAGAAAAATGACTTAAAGTTAAGAGAAAAATAAACTTTACCTAGCTCAAATCAAACATAAACAACATTGCCCACTTTGGATTACATATATTCAAGAAAAGATTTTTAAAAGACTATAATGTAATTTGCCAGAAATGATAAATATGTAGATTTAGAGAGCAAGTACAAATGAAATAAATGGATAAAACTACTCCTTCGAATATGTCATAATTTCAGTGGCAGATCTACCTGTTAAGAAAACTTGCCTTTTGACTAAGAATGAGGGAGGCAGGCAGGCTGAAGCGCATGGCTGCTTGGTTCAAATGAGACTGGGGGACTCCAAGAAATACAGAATAAACATGTGGTGCTAACACAGAACGCGCAGTGCCGACAGCAACAAAAAACAAAACTTTCTGTTAAAACTTAAATTTAGTTAAAGTGACTACCACTGTTTCTCAAAAGCATAGAAGTTGCTTGAACAGACACATGCCTCTTACTAACATGAAATGTGCTTAATTCAGCATATTTTATGAAAAAAAGCATGAGTGAATAATAAGCAAATTTATCATCGCCAAGTTCACATGTGACTTTTAAGCTTTAGTAACTGCTTTGCTACCTTGTGTAATTATTTTATAGGATTGACCTTCCAGGATTTTTTTATCGTTGCTATTCTGAGGCAATTGTTGTTTAAAACAGTTAAATATTTTTATCATTTAAGAAAATGGATTACTCTTAAAAGACAGCATTCAAGTTCACTTTCTGCCCCTAAGTGCTGTATTTATTTTGACATAAAACATTCTGAGAGGGGGAAAAAAAAAACAGGGGAGGGAACCACCAAATAAATTAGATTTTATAACATAAAATTTTATTTTGTGGATGAGCCGCGAATGAGGAATTTAAAAAGCAAACCAGCATTTCTACTCTGACTAGTTTTGGGGCTCTCTGGGTCAGTTTCTTCAACTGTAAAATGAGGCGCCGGATTACTTTATTAAAAAAGTTTTAAAAGAGGTAACCTATGATAAACTAAACACCCAAATATCGATCTGGCACAGTGCCCTGAGAGCCCGTGTGAAGTCCTATGGTAGTTTCTTGAAAAAGATCTTTGTACACAAGAGGAAATTTTATTAAGGAAGAAAATGAAAAAGCCTAGGCCTCAGTTGGATGGATTCTGAAACAGAACTCGAGCTCTCTCTTAATTAGCACGGCATCTTTTCAAATGAATAAACATCTCTAAAGGTGACCAGGCCCATTAAAGAGTAGACACGTTAGAGTCAGTCTTGCCCAGAGTACAGTGGCTCTCTTAATCAGCAAACTGGCTTCTGTCACTATCTCTGAAGCATCTAGCATCTTCCTGACCTTCTTTACCGGAGCTGTTGAAAATGACATTAAGACCAAGAACTATGGAACAAAAGAAAAATTCTCCTTATTCTTCCCCTTGCCTCTTCCCCACCATTTTAATGAATTGGGGAATCTACCCACCAGCCATCAATCTACCCAGGGGCCATCCTTTAGGACCTTGACTTACATGCTCCTGGCTAATCAATTTTCCTGCTATTACTTTTCAGCCCCTGAGTTTTGAAAGCAAGAAAAGCTACACCTTAAAAGTGGAGGGAGCCAATCCTCACCTGGAGATGCGTTTCCTGAACCTGGGCCCGTTTCAGGACACGACGACTGTGCACATCAGTGTGGAAGACGTGGACGAGCCCCCTGTATTTGAACCTGGCTTTTACTTTGTGGAGGTACCTGAAGATGTGGCAATCGGAACAACCATACAGATCATTTCTGCCAAGGACCCAGATGTGACCAACAATTCAATCAGGTTTTTCCACAGATTTCACCTTTTTTTTTTATATCCTGGAATCTTCCCTTTTCTTGTATCTAATTTTCTAGCATTTTTTCCCTTTGTTTCTTTCATTTCTGGAGACTCTCCTATTTCCTTAAATTCTTTCTGTTTAAATAACATGGTCTTTTCATGTTATTGAGAAGTGAAGTATCACTGTGCCTACAACTCACCGTCAATGGGTTCAGCAACACACACACACCTTACTTCTCAATCCTGACCCTACTGCCATTTTCAGATGGATAATTTTTTGTTGTGGGGGTCCTCCTGTGCATTGCACCATGTTTAGCAGCATCTCTGGCCCCCTAATCACTAAATGTAGCATCCCCTGAGTTTAACAACCTGAAATGTCCCCCGACACTACCAATGTCCCCCAGGGTGTAGGGTATGAAACTACCCCTAGTCGAGAAGCACCAATTCAGATAAAGCATAAACGAATACACAGATGTCAAAACATTACATACAAATTGTTCAATATTAGTGGTGAATATTAAAGGTGATCATGGTACATTCTTTCAATTTTTATTTTACAAAAATGGGGGAAAAAATACATATATCAATCCCTATTTCCATATACTATAGAAAGAACAGACTTAAAAACTACTGTTGTCAATGACTTCAATGCCACGTAGACTGGCCACACAGGGTTTCCTACGGCAAGCCCACTTATCAGTCTCTCCAAAGTGTCTTGGGCTTAAAGATTCTAACTAAGATGCCTCCCCCTGGAGAGGGGAGGGAGCTGCCCTCACAGCGACAACCATCTCTTATCAACTCTGGGACCAAAATGCAAACAGCTGGTAGACAGGTTGACACCACAACCTCCCAGAGCAACTGCCAAGCCTTGAAGCTTGACACAAAAGATCAGGATTCCAAGCCTGTTTGAGGCCATCTGTCACATTAATTGCTGAAAGCCACACAAATGGTCTGGGGCTTTAGTGCAGATAACACATTTTAAACACACCCCAATTTATTGAATGCTTTTCTGTCAGCTACCTCCATCACCTGGTGCTATTTTGTGTATAATGAAAATGTGCTTTTGAAGTCTAACAAAGACAGTTCTCTCCTGAGAATAACTATTCTGATTCCTCTAGCCAATTAGTAAACATTTTAACTTTCAGGCATTAAAATGGCTAAAATGATTTTGTTTGAATTCTGATATTTGATTTTTAGAAGTTGACTAATCTTTATGAGTTTTAACAACTCTATAGGAGTGATATTTGAACCTTAAGCTTTTTAAATCTATAATAGGATGGGGTGAAAGTTAATTAAACCATATCATCCCCAAAACCACCACAACATAAATGAAACCTATTCCATTATAAATTTATTTTTCAGAAGCCGAGTGCGTGTGTGCGTGTGTGTGTGTGTGTGTGTGTGTGTGTATGTGTGTGTGTGTTCGTAGCGGGAGATCTATTCATATCAAGGAAAATATTTTAGGGAAAACTTTAGAGAATAAAATTTTATGGAGGAAAATGTTTGAAATGACACAATCACAAGCTGGAAAAAAATGAGATCTCATTTCTAAAGAGTCGGTTAGAATACTCAGAATACTCCCACACCTTCTTTCCAGATTCTGACTGTACTCCTCCAAGGTAAGCCCTGGAAATACAATTTTGTTAGGAGTCACACTACTGTATGACAAGCAAAAGGGACTGAATGCAGTCAGGAAACATGCACACAAGCACGCACACACAGACCCACTCAGGGGGAATCCAAGAGTGAACGGGCCGGAGGCATAGAGCAGGGACCACTGGGCTTATTCTGGGGCAAGACTCTAGGTTCTGAGACTGAAACTGGCAAGAACAAGGCGAAAGCCACAAGCCTGGAGGAACAGACACGGGTTCAGGCGCAGAGGCAAAGCAGACTTCCACTTACCGGAACTGGGGATAATTCTCCCCCTGCATTTTGGTTGCAAAAAAGGAACAGAGTTCACATTGCTAGGTATATGGTCCCTCTTTGTGCTGTCCCCCAGGAAAAAAGAATAGTCCCTGGACACAAGAGGAAAATTGTGGGCCCTGGACTCTCAGAGAGAAAAGCATCTAAAAGTCAAATCTCTGGCTATCATTTAACAAACTCATTAGGGAATTACTTCCCTGTTATCTTCTCCAGATTGCTCATTTTATCCTTATTTTTCCTATACATCATTTTCTTTTAAAATAATTTGCATATGTCATATGCTGCTTGGCTATCTAATTCATTTTCTGCATTTTTATTACAAATAAATGAGATTTATATTCCTAAAAAGAAAATACATATTAAACCACCCCAAAACCAGCATTTCACCTAAAGTTAAAATACTATAAACAGTCATTTAACATTTTTAAAAAAATTATGACTTTTGTAATCTCCTTTCTAGAAAGTTCATGGTATGTTCAAGCATATAAACTGGTCATCATTTACTAGTAAGTCCCAATATTAAGTCTTCAGATTTAGTTATATATACAAGAAAAACATAATATTTGGATTGCCTGAATTTTTAATAAACATTTAAGGGATTTCTGGCAAGCAGGAAATGGAACCAACCATCTGGCAAGTGAAATAGGTTTCTGCTGTGTAAAACAGCCTGCCCTCCTATGCCATCCCAGAGTGTGTGTGTGGATTCAGCGAGCCTGCCCATGATACCCTACCTCCAAATTACTCCCAAATCCAGGAGCCAAGCAAATAAGCAGGGAGCCCAAAGAACACTGTTTGCTGAAGGGGGTTTTCTATGTGTATGTTATGCCTATACTGCCCATAGCAAGTGAGAATGTTACGGTTAGAGAAAGCAAAACCACCTACATAATTCACAAGTGTGTCCCAATTTCCTCATTTGCCATCTGTATCTACACCTTTCATGTGTTCTCCTGCCTCCTGAAAATTGGCCCAATGTCCCGTTCAGAGTTATAAATGCTATATTGCCTCAATTCAGGCCCTATTTGGGCAACTGAAAAGAGATTCCACTTGGTGAGGGAGGCTCTCAGTGTGTCCTCTCAGAGTGTCGCCGGGCAATACTGTCACGGGTTCTTTTGGCTAGTTACTTCGATCACTCCATCTCCCATACCATCTGTGACATTTGCTATGGCGCTGTACATCTGAGTGCAGAAAGCTGGTTCATCGGAGGCTGTCTCTCCCTTGGCATTACGCCTACGGCTTGGAGAGCTGCCACCAAGATGATGGCTCCGTGGGCCGAATGGCTGGCTTTACTCGTGTGTGGGGAGCTGAAGAAAAGACTGTCGTGAGCCAACCGGTATTTTTTTCCTAAGACAAATTCTACTCTTAAAATAGCCAGTAAGCTTTAAAACTAACTCACTAATTATACCTAGGAAAAAAGTACCCCGATTAATTATTAATGAACTTTGTAGGCATGTGTCTGTTCTTCATGAAAGAGTCAGACATTTGCTATCACGGCTCGACCTACCCTCATGAAGAGAAAAAGGCTGTTTCCTTACTCTATCTCATGCATTCCACGCACAGGAAGGCAGCATGGCCCGGGGCTTGCCAGCAGGAACCTGAATCCCAACTGCCTACACTTGGTTCCCAGCCTGAGACTTCGGGCCAGTGACTGATCCTCCCCATGCCCCCGCTTTCTCCCCTGTAAAATGCGGATGATAACAGTACCTACCCCATGAGGCTACTGTGAGGATTAAATGAGGCGAGATAAGTAAGGTAGATACAGCAGCGCCCGACAACAGAAGGTGTTCGTTAAAGAGGGTCACAGGCAGAAACGTTAATTTGCTTCTTTAAATTTCCCAACTCTTGGAGAGTTATAACTGAAATGATTCTAACTTTTCTAGCTTTTAGTCATCACCTTTCCATTTAATTTCTAACTTTGAACAGCCATCCTGAATCTTTCCAAGAAAAAATACCTATTTGAAACAAAACATTTTACCAAAAAATACATATATCTACATATACCTATATGTACTATATATTTATATTTATGTGAACCGTTTTACCGTCAATATTTACTGTTACATGTGACAGTCTTGTATGCATATATTCTATTCTATTTCATTTTATTTCAACACTAGTCATAACCCAGCACAGTGGTTTCACTAACCTGCAGTTTGAAAAACAAAGCACTCAAGAAACTGCTTACTCTCATCAAAATGGCAGTTTTCCAGTTTCAACGACTTTAAGATACAGACTGTAACTGCTAACAACTTTAAATAGAATTCTGAACCCGATATATTAAAATGTGTGTGTATATTTTTTCAAATCTGACCTCTGCAAATTACTAGGTGCACAACTGTATGGAACTGACTTGACTTCTGAGTCGTAGCTCCCTCTTCTGATAACTGAGGTAATATCTACCTCCTAGAGAGGCTGTAGGACTTAAAAAAGAAGCTATGAAATGTCTGATATTCAATAAATGGCAGCTATTACAATAACCGGCCATTACCAAGGACCACAAGGTCCTCAAGGATGGCTCTTGGTCATGGTTACATATCAAAATCCCTTATGCAGGGCTGGAAACATACAGATGCCTGAGCCTCCCTTCACGCTTACTGGATGTCAATCTCCCAAAATGGGGCCAGGTGAGGTAATGCACGTGAAGTAACAAAAAGGGTCAGGTTGCCGAATCAGATTCAACAGGAATTTCAGATCTTACCCAGTACCATGGTAAATAATGACCCAAAGCGTACAAACAACAGCAAAACATAAGCCGAAGGCTCTTTCCTTGGAGAGGTCTGAAGCCATCAGCCACAAGTGCTTGTAAACATCCCTCTTTCCTGTAAGGATGCATGTTGGTTCACACTGACCATGAAAGGTGTAAGCAATGGATGTTGCTGTGCAGTGCACTGCCTGAACAGAAGGAGCCATTTTGGTTATGAAACATCTGTGTTTTATACTCCATTAATTACATAACTCACATGACATTATCCAGCAAGCTGTGCTCCATAAATTCATAAATTCTAGGCTTACTTACAACAAGTGACCTAGACAAACCTTGTTGATATTCCTAAAAACATTCCATAGATAAGGACTCTCTAGCTAGTAAATACATTATAGATAATGATGTTTGCCAATAGGTCAGTCATTAGCACGTTTCTGAAGGGCCTGATACAAATCTTCTCAATAGGTGATACTAAATACAGGACTAGAATCACTGAACTATGCGTTGTTCAATTCCATTTCAGCATTTCAGACTTATAAAATTCATTTTGAACAAAGAGATGTAGGGGTTGATAGTCAGAGTGTCCCAAAAGCCTTGGGCAGTTTTAAATAGCTGAAATTGATCTTTAAATGGTTTAAAACTGCCCTAAGGCTTTAGCACCTGTTTTATTTCATTTAACGAATCAAGAAATTAAAGCAGTAATAGTTTGTTGTTGGTTTTTATAGTTTTTTTTTTTTTGCGGGAGTGGGGGGCAGGGGGTGGTCATGATAAAAGAGCAACTTCAGTCTCCCAAGCACCCATAAATCAGAACTAGGACAGCCATGTCTCACACAGTATGCCCTCAGTTCTCTGGTGTAATATGCTGTGGTATGTTTATCCAAATAAGAAACGAAGTATTTAATCTGTGTTTTTTGCAGATATTCCATTGACAGAAGCAGTGACCCTGGGAGATTCTTCTATGTTGACATTACAACAGGCGCCCTAATGACTGCAAGACCCCTCGACAGAGAAGAGTTTTCTTGGCATAATATCACTGTCCTCGCTATGGAAATGAGTAAGAAAACAATAAATTGGTCTCTATATAGTGACAAAATACAACCATTGTAGAAACTGGAAGTTTCCAGAACTTGTTGAAACAAGAATTTTATTACTTACAGCAAGAAACGGAAATCATAGTTCATGCGATTAAGGCTTCTAGTTCAAATATTTACTGAGCATTTCCTGTATACACCTAGTCCAATGCTAGAGATAAAAACAAAACGTGTAAAAAAAGAAGTGAAAAAAAAAAATTGTATCCTTAAACCAAGGAGCTAGATTACCATATGAAGGAAAAAGGACAGTTCTTAAGAAATCTAAGAGGCTTTCAATCTTTAACAAGATTGGGAATGCACAAATAGTATAAAATATTATTATCAGATGAAAGGAAGCATTTATAACATATGACCTTCATTACACATACATGCATACAAGAATGAGACATCTTAAAACGCAAATTAACATAAACTTAAAAATTATATTATTTACTACTACATTCAACTTTTTTCCATAACTCCTAGTGATAGTAAAGGTGTAAGGAAGTGGCAGACTCTAAACACACTGACAGATGTGTGTCCAGTTGTTCAGAAGGGCAATCTGGCAATTAATCTTTTATATTAAGATTCTCCAAAACATTCATGCTCTTTTTCTCAAGAATCCTACTTTTAATAATTATGTTAAGGAAATAATCATAGATGTAAACAAAGATTTACATATCAAAATGTCTACTGCAGTGTTATTTTTAAATAAGGAGGAAATGCAAGTTACCTACATGTCTAATAATAGGAGTCTGACTAAATAAACTGCAGTTATAACCATACGGTAAAATGAGACTGTCACATAGATATTAATACCCATGCTCTCAAAGCATAGCTCAATGACACAAGATCATCTCGCCCTAAAATATTAAAGTTCAGAATACAATTTTTTTATTTTGCTTAACGTGTGTGTGTGTGTAGCTCCACATTTTTGGACACATACATAACATTACGTATAACAGTTATGCCTAGTAGGACTGTGGATCCTATTTATTGTTTTTCTGGAATATTCATTATTCCTTCTATAAACAAGTACCAATAATAAAATTTTTAAAAAATTTAAATATGGTAACCAAGCCATAGAAATATTTAAGGGAGAAACACAATAGAGTGTAAGTATTTTTGAGAAAGAAAAAAATGAACCAGCAGAACACGGCATTCTGATTTAATTTCTGTCTTATGCTTTCTATTTTGTCTTCTTGGGATGGTGATCAAAACAGAAAAAGAAAGGAAGGGAGCTACCAGGGCTGTGAAATTGTCCCTGTGTGGCAGTGCCAAGCAAAAGACAAACCAAAGACATTTCCCAATGAGTGACTATGAGAAACTTCTCCTGCTCCAGCCAAAAATATTGGATTTGGTGTATGTTTGATCCTGTAATATCCCCTTAGTCCCTAAGCAGAAATAAATATGCAGTGTTAATCTGCATTCCTGTGAATAACTTGAAACCTTCTGAAATATAATTCAAAGAACGATTATTTCACAGGAATAAGCCAAGCAATGCCACACCGTAGGATTAGAAACGGGCTGTTTTCAAGCCCAGAATACAGAACTGACCTCTTTTGATTTGAGAACCTGAAGTACGAGCCAAGTGAGAGCTTAAAAAGCTATTTTTAAGATTCAGTTTGTGATGCCTGCTGCCCCGGAGTCTGGCCCTTCCCCTCCTGGTATCCTCCTGGTACCACACATACTCTCAGACACACACCTCTTCCCGTCCACGCTTGTGTTCTGGCCACGCTGCTAATGGGCACCACACGCATCCTATGCCTGGGTTGCCATTTGCACGTACTTTATCCATTCCTTTAAAAACCAGACTGACAAGGTAAAGACCTAACCAGCAAAGAGCGGCTTTCTTGCACTTCTGAACCCTTTGGTTTTCTTTGTGCTCTCTTTAGACAATCCTTCCCAGGTTGGAAGTGTTTCTGTCACAATCAAAGTCTTAGATGTGAATGACAATGCTCCAGAGTTCCCAAGATTTTACGAAGCTTTTGTCTGTGAGAATGCCAAATCAGGGCAGGTAAGGCGGCCTGTGAGGCATGCACCTTGGTTAACCCCAAACATGTGGAAATGACTGTTACAGATAACCAAATCTGCCATCAAAGAAATTTAGACTCGAGTCCCCAATTTCTGTGTATCACGTTGCACTGGCTTATTTGTTAAGACGAGTATGTAGAGCCTCTGTCATATTTTATGATCTGAAGAACGCTCTGATGATGGTTTATTCATGGGCTGGCCTGTGATAAGGTACATACCCTCCTTGTAACTGAACTACACAGAACTGATTGTAATAACACACGCTCTGGGTCCTGGAGAGACCACGAAAATCAGAAGAAAGAACAGTCTTCTCTTTTCCTCAGTTTAGTACTAATCCCTGAAAATATTTACAGTAGGGGAAGCTTTTTAAAATATATTCCCACTTCCCTTTCTTAACTCTGGCAGCAGAGACTGCCTGCCCGATTCTCAGAACACTCTGTTACCTAGAATTACCTATTTGCTCTTCTCCCTCAAAACACCCATCTTTTAGTGCTGCTCACGTCAGGTAAGTTTTGAGAGGAAAGGAATCTGAAGGAAAAAATTTCTACTTATTTGCAATAACTTTAGTTCATAATCTTCAGAAATATATTTGCATATTTTTTAAAGTCTGCTTTTAAACCTAAATGAGTATTTCATCAAACTCTGAGTAGTGTCACTGAGAAACATCCAGAATTCTGTGCGACCACATATGAATGCACGTGTCGGGGCATCGCCCGCCCTGTGACCACCGTTCCACACTTCAGATCACAGGCTCTCCGCCCCCTCAGTGGCCCCCGCTTTTGTAAGAAGCTTTCCTCCTCTACCTACGACCCAACAAACTCCTTGACAGTCCTACTTTATTTCCCCTGGAGTGTATTCTGCGGTCCTGTGGATTCTGGTGGCGGCGGCGGAGGGGTGTGGGGGCGGTGCAAATGGATCAGGAGAGTTTTAATGGATTGAGTCAACGCATCTTTACCATTCTAAGAGCAAAAAGTGATTCCCATCCCCCAGGGGAAAAAAAATGTGTCCTGTAGTGATTCTGATCCAAATGATCTCATCCATTATTTCTTGAAACTTGGTGCAAAGGTCTATAGCACTCCTTAAAATTTTTTTTCAACAAGCCTAGGATAATTCTACTTCCATATCTAATTTCTAGTCTAGAAAGACTTGAAATATTACACAGCTAATAAAAGTTACAAGGAAGATTTTTCAGCGTAAGAAATTATCCGTATTATAAGAAAAAAGGTATTAAAAACTACAGGTGCGCGCTTGCAGTTATGTAAAATTATGTCTGTGTGTGAACAAAGACTAGGAGACAAGATGCAGAAGAAACAGCAATAGTTACTATGCAAAGGCAGTTGAATTTTGAGTGAGGGGGGTTCAGACCTTTAATAATTTTTGTTTTATAGTACAACAATTTATTATATGAAGTATAATATTTTGTTTTACATAAGATTATATTATGACAAATATATATTTTATACAATGATATGATAGGAGACTATTTATTTATAATATAAACACAGTGATAAGTAACGCAGTAAATTAAACCCCCTCTCAACCCAAAAAGGAAACATTTCCTTTCTTAAAGGGCTTGAGAACAGGAGTTGCATTCTGACACGTTAATAGCACTGTAACCACCTCGCCTGTTTTTGGAGCAAACATCTCCCACTGCCACATCTCTAAACACATCTCTCAATGGGCTATTGTACAGTCTTTTGAAGCGCACTTTATCTGCTACTTAAAATTCAGGTCATGAGCTACAAGTCTGTCATATTTGTCATCATTAGCCCAAGATACTGAAAATCCTACCCTTTGATTTTGGCACCAGGACGTGTTTTGAAGATTTTCAAAAGCACGCAGGTCAGCAGGTACGTCTGGCTTATAAAGAATCGGGCCTCTTTGGGTCAGACTTGCCAGACACTCGTCAGCTCTGCGTCTGCCGAGTTGGGATATGTACTTTCCTCTTAGGGAGCAGCCCTGAAGCGAGCCCATAAAGAAATCAGACGACGTACTCGGTGAGAGCTGAGGGCGGACTGAAAACTGTGAAGCAGCATGCTGCACAGCAAGAGGCTGAGGAGGAAACCTGACCTGACAGGAGCGCGGAGGGCAGAGCATGGGCTCCCGACTCGGGCTCGGCAAGGCGGCGTCTTTGCTCGCTCATTCTTTAAAGCCCCGTAACCAACCTCCCAATACAGAAACGATTTCACAGGTGTGATGTTCTGAAATGACTTTCCGACTGTTTGCCGAGTTATACGTGATCACCTATTTATAACATGCACCAAGAAATATGTCTTTATATGTTTGGTACTATAGGCAAGATGGAATGCACAGGATTTGTCTCGAGGGCTGGGACAGTAGGGTGACCCTCGTGTGTACACAGCACGAACACCAGGCCAGACTGCGGTCTCCTGACCACTCTCATATCGTAGCGCCATTCCCCCAACTCTCAGACTGCACAGAGGCCAGCTGCCAGTTGGGGTCACCAGAAGGCATACCCTGACAGAGTTCTCATATAAGGTGCTAACTGAGGACTGTCCTTGGGGCCAATACCGTGGAAGAGAAGGACTTCTGTGGGATGGGGAGAAGGGAGAAGTCCAGCTGTGATGCAGACCCACTGACAGCCTCAGACGACTTCACACTGCTCCGGAGCTGGAGTTTTCCCGAGCTGACATGCGATGGCCGGGCCCTTACACTGCTGCACCAGTCACTGGATGTGGGCTGCCATGGAAGGCTGAGGTGACCGCGGGCAGGTGGCTCTCAGCAACTGAGGCAATGCTCGAAGAGACAGACAGGTGAAGGCCGGGGCATTGAGTCCTTCACTGAAGGGCGATCCGGGCAGCACACGATCCACCAGAAGGCCCCTTGCTGGAGCTTCCTGCTCTGTAACTTAACTGTAATTTCATCTTAAGCACACTGGGAGGCAGCATCACCTCCCCTAACCCACAGATGAAGATGGAAAAACTAAGCAAGCCCACCTGGGCCCCCAGCTGACCTTTGCTGTTCCCGTTCCTACCCTGGCAGAAAAACAGCTGGCTTTTAACAGCAGAAGTGTCATGGCCACAGGGCCAGGGCCAGGGCCAGGGCCAGGGCCAGGGCCAGGAGGGGTAGGGGAAGTCTGTGCTCCTGGTTGACAGAGAAGCAAACACACAGGAAGACCACCCATTCAACACCTTTCCTGTCTCCGCCCAGTCGGCCTGCCAATGGTTCAAATGTGTATTTCACGCTGCTTTCTTAGCAGCTTTTCATCGTGGTCTTCACAATCATGAGGCAACTTACTACTCCCAAAAGCATTGTGGAAAGAGCAAAGTTTGGGCCAAAGAGCTGCAGAGGACGCCACCCCACCTCTTCCTTCAGCCCCAAGCTCTGCTTTTCCCTCTAGTCTGCGCTGTACACCCCACCCTGGGGGTTTCGTGCTCTACACCTCATCTAGCTCCCCTTCCTGCCAACAGTGATGGCCCTGTGGCCCATTCCGTCACGTTTTCCATTAACCTGATATAGCCAATGTTCCTCTGTCTATTGACTTCTATTCTAGGTATTGATCACTTTTAAATAGGGACTTCTCAAAGATAACAATTTGACCCTGAAACATCAGCCCCAAAGTGGGGTTAAGTAGGTGGGGTGGGAGGATGGAAAACGGGGAGACAAGCAGGACCATGTGGCATCCTAGGGTTCATTTACTCAAAGTCTTCTATTCAGACTGCGTAGAAGTTCTCACCAGCCTTGGTGTGAGAATGTTATGTTGGTATCTAGCACCTGAGGTATTTAGGCAACATTCGCCCTGAGTCTGTTAACGTACTCAGGGCCAGCAACAAACCAAGACTAAATCCTGAGTTGTGTGACAACATGGAGATTGTCCAGGTAAGTTTCAGGAGAGCCTTCTCATCAGGTAAAATAATGTGCTACTGGGTTTGGGCCCTGAAGCTCCTTCCTTTGGCTCTAACTCACCTGATCTCTTGCCCCCCCCCCCCGCCCAGATGATCCAGACAGTGAGTGCAGTGGACCAAGATGACCCACGTGACGGCCAGCACTTCCACTACAGCTTGGCCCCAGAGGCGGCTAACAACCCCAACTTCACTGTGAGGGACAACCAAGGTAACCTGTGGGGAGTGGGCTGGATACGTGGGGTTATACCACGCAAACAGCATCAAAAGCCACCTGCTCTTTAATAGCAGGGAAGATGTGAGTGCTAATTTTTATTTCAGAAAGTCAGAGACAAAGAATGTCCTCTGCTGATTCTGAGACTCTCATTTGGTCAGTCGGCCAGACACGGGGCGGGACACACAGGCCAAAGCCTTCCCCATCCCCACAGACGGCAGCCATGTTTGTGTGTTCTGTAACTAGGGGAAGAATCTGAGAAAAATGACAGAAACTAAACTAGATTAAAAGAAAAACCTGAGGGAACATTTCTAAGCAAGGATCAAAGGGCAAACATGGGCTCATAAAGAATAGTTTGCGCACTGAAATAACTTTATTACCTTAGCATGATTCAGGAAGACACAGCTGGGGCTCCCCATTCCAGAAAGTGCCCCCCACCACAGCTGTGCGGCAATGGGATTCTAGACACATTTCTCCAGTAAGCATCAGATCAGCAAAGAGGTTTACGGACCTCGTACACTCTCCATGGGCACAGATGGGAAAAGGAGAGACCTTTGCTCTCTACCCAGATAATTTTCAAGAAAGGTCAGAGCAAGTGAAAGAATAATTTCGGTGTGTCACGTGAACCCCTCCTGTTGTTAACTGTGACACCAACGAGCTGTCTGACCTCGAGGAGGAAGGGCGTCACTTCTCTGGGCTGCAGGAGCCTCACTTTTATGCCAATTCTAAAATATTAAGTGGCTTTTTATAACAATCTAAACAACGAGAAACAAAAAATCATGACTGGGCATGCCTAGTCTTAGTCCCAAACATCAATTATCTGAGACTTAACGTATTAATCCCACCCCACGTGATGTTCTGCTACTAAAAGTTGAGAATATCAAACCTGTGTTATTCTAAGTGGAAAGTGTTCTTCCAAGTCATCCCTTTAACCGTCTACGTGTTACCATAAAATCACCACAACAATCCTGGGAGGAAGGATAATGTAAATTATCACAACAGAACTACTACAATTAAATATCCTGATATTTTCGTTGGGTCAAATTTTGAACTGTTCATTTCCCTGCTTTACAAGAAAACCCTTCCTGCAAAAAGCGGTTTTAATCCCCTAAGGATTGGTTTTACAGTGGAAACATCATATTGTTTCTTTACATTTGCAGCTGTGTCACTGCATTCCTTTACTCTGGTTATTTGTCGGAATCGATAGAAAAATAACATGCAGCAAAATACTGCAAACTTTTAAAGACGATTTTGGACCCAATTCATGGAGCCAATCAATGCCTTGAAAAGATGGACCACTGGAATGTGATGACTATAAAGAGAAATGACTCATCTCTTGGAAGGTTTTCCAAAATGGAAGTCAGCACATCTTCAACAGAAAGAATAAACTCTTAATTTTCTCATGACAATTTACTCCACGAGCAGGCTTTACTGGGGCTCATTAAAAAACTGACCAGCATCTGATATGGTAGATACACTGTCAAGCCTCCTCCAACTCCCGTGCCCAAAAAACAACACCCTTTTATGAACACAACAGAGCACGCTCTCGAATAAAGCCTTCTTACTTTTTTATCCCCAAAGCATTATGAAAAGTATTGTGTATACATAGCACATTACAGTTTCAAATGCATTTTCCCATACTATGCTTTATTTGATGTTTATAAGAGTATTGCAAGGTTTTAAGGAAGTTCCTAAAACCCTAGTTATCAAATTCAACAAAAATTCTACAAGTGACTACTATATGCCACAGCCCTTCCAAGACTAGACTCAGAAATATGATGCTCTGATCTTTTTTCTTTAATCTTAAATAATTTTGAGACCAAGAAACACATGATGTACAGTAGGCATGATATAACATGTTTATGAAATTCAGTTCCGGTCAGGCTTTCTAAAAGTCTTATAACCTAGCCTCGATTAAACTGGAAAATAAAAAAGATTTCTGTTTAGGAAAACTTAGTTTCTGAAAAGAAACGAAATTAAAACTGTGAAGCAGAATTAATAGTACTTAACTACTAAATCTGGAAAATAGAAAAATAGGTGAGTTGTATGGCAGACAAAAATATGAATATAATCCTCAAGTTGGCAACCAAGTATTATCTTTCTCCACTGAGAAGGAAATAAGAGGAAAGGCCTACACAAAAGCACGAAGAGATTTCAATTAGCTGAATAATTTGCTACACTTAATGTCATTAAACTAAATAAGCAGTTAGCACAGTGGAAGGAGTATACATCTGGAGTCTGAAAAACCAAAGTTCAAAGACCAGCTCTGCTACTAAGTTAGTGACTTTGAACAAATTATATCATCTCTCCAGGCATTAACTCTCTCACTGTAAGGGTGAGATTATCACTGTCTCTCCAAAATGTCATAGAGATTAAATGAGATAATGCTTGTAAAGTCTAAGTGCCAAGCATTTAAGTACTCAATGAACGACAGCTGCTACCATGAAAAAACAGGGGAAGAAGGTAGAAAAATTATTTAAGAGTTCATGTATTAGTCAGAATAGGCTAGGTTATGCCGCAGAAACAAACATCACCGAAAGCTCAGTGACTAAAGTTAATTTCATGCTCACACAAAACTGACTAGGGTCTGAGTGACTGAGGACAGCTGTTCACGTGTACAGCTCAGTGTCCAGGCTGCATGGATCTCCATCTCAAACATTCTTTCATGATAACCACACCGATGCAAGAGCACAGAGAATCACGTACCAGCTTCTACATGTTTCTGCCTGGAAGTTGATGAATGACTTTTGCTTATTTTTCATCATCTAACACAAATCACAGAGACATGCCCAAATTCAAAAGAGTAGAAATGTACAATTTTTTGTTATGTCCAAGAAAAGGAGAACCGGAAATACTGATACTGATATTAGTAACGTTTACGTTGGTAAGGCTCTCAGAATATTTTGTGAAGTTCTAGACTCTCCCCTGTGAAGTGTGAAACACATCCAGAGGACCTTCCACGTTGTTACTAGCTTTGAGAGTCAATACTTGTATGTCCCGCCCTATCTCTCAAACTTTTCCTCTGCAGAAAATGATCTGAGCTTTGCGAATATATATATATATATGTTATACATATATGCATATATATCTGATTTATAATTCATAGCCATTCAATGAAACTTGAGAATATAGATAAAAAAAAGATCCCAGAACATTAAGCAAATATACACACACACACCCCAGCTTTGTGGAAACACATCAAATAATTTTGCTAATCTCCTTTAAAATTGGAGGGGGAAAAAATACTATCAATACTGATAGGAATGAATTTTCACAAAGTTCATATTAACCACTTACACTCAGACCACCAACGAGGGGGGAATAACAGTGTGTGTCATATGATTAGGGGATTTCAAATAAGCTTCTGCTAAATGAGCTGTTCTTCAGAAAGCACAGGAGTTGGTGACTGCATTTCGGAAGCATAAAAGAAAATAGCGAAAGACGTGAATTCCAGCCAAAGTGACAAAAAAATGAGCAATCTGCCAAAGCCACTTGGGCTCTTCAGCATTCTTCTCCTGGAGGCACAGAGCAGCACTGGGGCCTCGCAAAGCTGCTGAGCGGGAACAAACGGGACCACAAGTCGCCAGTGATTGTTCATTTCTGTCAAGCTTTCCCAGGGACATTTCAGTTAGATCTGAAGTCAGACAGCTCGCCCTGGGCACTTATGTCACAAAGGGTAAGACATAATCTCAAAAAGCGTTTCTCTCCTAGGTCTCAGGGTTTTGCCTAGACGCAGGCAAAAATCTTGGTTTCTGCATCCAAATGCTGACCAGACAAAGCTGACCTGGCTGTAGCTGAAGGCCTAAGGGAACGTTTGCCCACCCTCTCTCCTTCACGCCCGTTCCTGCCCCCTTGCTTTCCTCAATCCAAGAGACACATTCACCTGTTGGTTCTTCCACTGACTTCCTCCCCCTCGTTCTTCCTCTTTCCATCCCGGAATCCCTGTCTTCTTCAGATAACACTGCCCAGATCCTAACAAGGCGGTCTAGCTTCCGGCAGCAGGAGCAGAGTGTCTTTTACCTGCCCATCCTAATATCAGACAACGGGCAGCCAGTGCTGAGCAGCACAGGCACGCTGACCATCCAGGTGTGCAGCTGTGATGACAACGGCCACGTCCTGTCCTGCAGCCCAGAGGCCTACATGCTCCCAGTCAGTTTGAGCCGGGGTGCCCTCATCGCCATCCTGGCCTGCATCTTCGTCCTCTTAGGTGAGTACGTGGCTCCCTTCCATTCTGTGTGGTCCTGCAAGTGCTTACGGAGACATCATTCAGGGATTTTCCCAGCAGCTGTTCAGAACTGCTTTTCTGCACTGGGTTTATTGAAAACATGGTAGATTAAGGCTGAGAAAAAAAAGTAAAGAAATTGAAGGCAGTTCCTTCCTTCAAGAAACTCCCAGCCTTTCTGGCCAAATCAAAGCACATGTATTTCTCTATCAAGCATCTACTACGGGCAAGGGTACCACGCTGGGTGCAAAGATTAATAAAACAGACATGTCCCAGCCTTCACAGACCTCACTTCAGAACAAAGCAGTTTATCTGGAAATCACAGAACCAAAATGACAGTTTGGAACAGGATATGATGATCGCCTCTTCTAACTCCTTCATTTCAGATAAGTACTAGCTATATCACAAAGAGACAGTGACAGGCCCAAGGTCAAATGTCACAGAGCCAGGACTGAAATGCAGGCAGGCCCTACAGTGAGCTTCCCTGTATCTGAGCGGCACAGCCCTTCTCCTAAAAGTTCATCCCAAATTCTGGAGGTGGTGTTAGACAGAAGGGAAGAGGGACAGCGTGTCTTGAGGGGACAGGGGTATATGCCATTTAAAATAGGGTGATCAGGAAAGGCCTCACTGATCAGAAGACCTTTGAGCAGAGACCTGGAAAAAGTGACAGAGTGAAACCACACAAGTATCTGGGAAAATAAGCTGTTTGGGGCATCAGGCTCCCTTCCTAGGCACTGTGGCCACCCAACAAGGAACAGCGACTAAACAGGGCCAGCCTGCCTCTGCCGGCGAAATAAAAAGATGTGTTGACAGGCCAGTGGAAGAGCACTATTGGGGTATGGGGCCCTGTCTTCCTTGTCTCAAGTCATTCTGCAAGGCAGCCACCCAGCTCTCTTGTTCATAAGGCCATTTGTGTAATTGTTTTTGAACTCCACACTCAAAAACGAGCAATAAAACACCTAAACCAACTCTTGAAACCGAGAATTTTCTGTACATAAAACTCTTCTGATTGAATTAATTCACAGCATACATATTTTGCTTAGAGAAAAGTAGACTTAGTAGATAGTACTATTATTCGATATGAAAGAAATCTAGCATTCCATGGAAGAAAAGAGTAAAGCACGGGAGATTTAAATGAGAATAGACATGCAGATATCCACATACCCCCTTAATCCTTGGTTTACTGCTACAAGAGACTCAGTCAGACCAAAGAAAGAAGGTACTGACTGTAAAATGTTAGCACTTGATTGAATTTTAGATAGGTCTGTGGAACATGCTTCTGAAAAAATCATTTTAAGATATAACATGTGGTTTAATTGTGTTGTTTTAGTTCAATGCTACATGAAGGGATGAGTAATATAAATAAGTAACATTTCTAAGTCCTTGGATCCCTGGATGACAGAGAATTGTCCTCTTTCTGGTGCTTCTCAGTATTGGAAAAAAAAAAAAAAAGCTTCCTGCAATTCCCTAAATGTCCATAAGGTGGCATTGGGAGTCCTTGAGTGCAAGACAGGATAACCTGCAAGAGGCCTTTGATGAAACTTGTTCTTAAGGGAAATTTCCAGTCTGTCCTTAGTTCTATCTTTGGCAAATGTGTATGTTACAAGTTCACCCTGGCCCACAAACAGTAGAGATGCCATCATTAAAGAAATACTGATTTAAAGAGACTGGCACAGAGAGGCTCTCAAGCTAGAAGTGTTGTGCAACGGACAATTTCTTTTGTGCTTCCTAAATCCATTATGTCTTGTCTTCTGAACTGTATGAAATAAACACAGTTTTCAGGAGCTGAACTGAACAGAGCTGTTGCAAAACCCTCATAGTTTTAGGCACTCTTATTTCTAAGAATGCACATCCCACATTAAACACAATTCCTAAAACTAAGTAAAAGTGAACTGCAGTTGGTCCATCAACAAAATACTATACTTTGTGAACAAATAAACATATTAATTTTATTTTGCGGGATTTCTTCTTATATCTCAAGTATGTATCTAGTTCCTAGAAAATCTCTTAGGCACTACACGCTGTGCTTATAGATCTAAAAATTAAAAATCCCTAGAATTGATTCTCTTATGTCGGGGAGGCTTTTCAGCTACATAGGACCCCAGATCTAATTTTGCAATTCTTGTTATTTAAATCAGATTACCTAAAAAATAAGATATGTAGTGATCTTTATTTTTCAAGAGATGGACCCGTTCCAAGAACTGCTTAATTCTTCATCACTATCAGAATTCTTTCCAGCAGATACTCAAAGATTTTTCTATTTTTTCTTTTTAGCATTTTCTAAAATACCACTCCAGTATCACCTACATGAAGGTTTTCCCAGGTTGCTAGGAAGAATTAACTAGCCCTGCCTCTGCATTCTCTTCACTACACTTATAACCCTATAAAAGACCTTACACACCTGAGTTGTATTAATCATCGGTGTCTATAATTTCCTTGGATTGCAAGCTTATAAGAACAGAAATCCTATTCAATGTTGTTTCTCCATGGATTAGCACAGTGCCTAAAAAATACTTAAGTTTAGTAATTGTTTACTGAATCCTACGAACATAGCATGTTTACTTAGAATCTCATTTTCCCAACCTTCATCCATCCAAATCACACCCCAGCCTCTAACTCCCAGTTCAAGGCTCCACTTCTTCAGATCCCTCTTAGTCCACTGCTCTGAAATCTACAGTCCTATACTCTATGAATCATATTTTTGCACAAAGAGAAAATATATGAGCATACAGTTGTTTCCTGCGTTTTGTCACCCAAGCTATTTGGGAAAATATTAGGTAGTAACATCATTAATTGCAATTTACAAAAAGCACATTTTATATTCAAATTTTAAAAATCATTATCATGAGCTTTTGAAGTCCATCCGTTATCTTACTGTGCATATGACTATACTCTTATTTCTCCCCCAATGGATAGACTGGGGTCTTATTTTGCAGTGCTGTCAAGCTGTCAGTGTTCACTAGCTGTAACAACGCACACCAGAAAAATAATCAATAGCGGTTCTACAGCTAAAACCCCAACACACTTCCTGGAAAACATTTTTAGTACAGAGATAAACAGTTCAATGAGATTATCTCTATCTCTCCTTTAAACCTCAGTGAACACATCCTGGGAGGAAAAAATACATTTGTTGGGATAAAAATTTTATCCAAGCCTGCAAAGGCACACCTAACAATGTGGTGCTTCTCTGATAACAAGATGAATTCTATAAAATGTCACTGCTCATTCCTCCCTTCCACGAACATCACTGAATCCAGAAAGTCACAAATGAGTCACAACCTCTATGGAAAGGCTTTTTTGAGGAGTTGAGTTTATTGGACAACAGCGGTCACTTATGTTGTCTTATTTTCTGGAGGAGATGTGAAAAGCCTAAGACTTTGGCCGATTCTTAGTAGGAGTCTCTACGCATGCGCAATAACATATGCTAGGTACACAGCCAAATCCTACCGAGCTGCTAATGTTAGAAAGCGGGATCTATTTGCATAAGAGAAATGCACATCCATCCTTATATAGTCAGAAGACAAGCCCTGATCCCTATCGCATGCTCCACGCAGGCCGCTGTGCTTTGTTAGTGGGATTTTACATTGGGTGGTTGGGTGTAGGCACCACACGCAATTTCAGAGCGGCAAGTTGACGCAAAGACGCTTTATATGCAACCTTTAATTCAACTACTCGTTTAAAATATTTGGCTTTCGAAGCGGCAAGTTGATGCAAAGATGCTTTATATGCAACCTTCAATTCAACTACTCATTTAAAATATAGGGCTTTGTTTTCCTACAAACTCTCAATCTAACCTGGCAGAATGAGCGAGAACGGGGTAGACCCCGCAGTTTAAAATACACAAACGCTGTCTCTGAGCGCAGCGCTCAGAAACTCGTGCCATACCTGGGGTCAACCGAGAGCACCTCACGTCATGGCACGTCTCCCGCCAGGTCCCTCCGGTAAATGTCCCGTCCTCTTTCCCCGGCAGTGCTGGTGCTGCTCATCTTGTCCATGAGGCGGCACCGGAAGCAGCCGTACATCATCGACGACGAGGAGAACATCCACGAGAACATCGTCCGCTACGACGACGAGGGCGGCGGCGAGGAGGACACCGAGGCCTTCGACATCGCGGCCATGTGGAACCCCCGGGAGGCGCAGGTGGCCGGCGCCCCCAAGACGCGGCAGGACATGCTGCCGGAAATCGAGAGCCTCTCCCGCTACGTGCCTCAGACGTGCGCCGTGAGCAGCACCGTGCACAGCTACGTGCTGGCCAAGCTCTACGAGGCCGACATGGACCTGTGGGCCCCGCCCTTCGACTCCCTCCAGACGTACATGTTCGAGGGGGACGGCTCGGTGGCCGGGTCGCTGAGCTCTCTGCAGTCGGCCGCATCGGACTCGGAGCAGAGCTTCGACTTCCTCACGGACTGGGGGCCCCGCTTCCGGAAGCTGGCGGAGCTCTACGGGGCGGCGGAGGGGCCAGCGCCCCTGTGGTGACGGAAGCCGGGAGGCATGTGCGCGTCCAAACGCGGACGTGCTAGGCGGATGCTTCGCGGACGAGGTGCAACCAACCCACACGAGCAATACTGTGCTGGAGAGTTCGAGAATGGAGTGAGCAGGAGAACAGGGCTCTCTCTGGATCAGCTTTACTACTTGGTTAGATTAAATAAACAAGAGGAAATGCAAGAAGAAGGGGGCAGAATCTCCAATTATCTTTTTTACTTTTCTTTTTGATTTTTGTGACACTATTCAAAGGCTTGGAGTCCAAGGTTAGATATGGCAAGCTTGGCTTTTCTTTGCCTTTCACCAAGGTCTTTGTCACTTTTCCACCACAAAGAGGCTCTGATATTAAATCTAGAGGTGGCCGTTGAAAGCAGACAGAAAGTTCTACTCTCACATCCTCTTTATTTTATTATTCTCCAATTCAGAGTTTGGCTGGCTCGTCAAACCACACAAACCAATCCACGCAGAAGAACGCTGAAAAAAAATGTTCCTCGGTGGAATTAACCTACTTGTCCTGGAATGGATGGAATTTCTTTTAACCCTTTTGCGACAAAGTTTAGGGGAATCGGCCTTGCATGGGGGCCGGGTGGGGGTGGGAGGAGGAAGAGGCATTGACTTTGCGCTCAAGTTTAACGGCTGAACCAAGAGTCGTTGGCATTACGACAAATCCAACTCCGTCAATTCGAGTGCTCTTGTTCTCCCAGCTCTTTCACTGTGCCCCTGCAAAATCGTTCAGAACGAAACCAGAAAATCTGCCTCTTTTGCACTGTAGATATCTCTTCCATGTGCCAAATGTGAAGATTAGATGCTACAAATGAAAGCCAAATAAAAAGAAGTATCTGATAAAAGCATGGGTTAGAGGGCTTTCCTAATCTGTGTGAGGTCAATCCAAGGGATGTTTACATACTGTAGATAACCTACTTGAACAAAAATCAGTATTATAGAGAATGGATGTAAGAAAATTACATGTATAAGTTTTGTATATTTGTTAATAATTTTGGTAATAAATATGATGCACTGCATCTCAGTACCTTAGCACTTCTTTTAATAAAAGTTAAATAGAAGGGAAAGTCTATTGTCAATTTGTTTTAATTGCTGAGCTGGTGAAAGATGGCTTGGTGAGCCTGACCTAGCCTCAGGTTCTTGGGACTGGGGCTGATTCATAAAGCAAAGCCAAGGGCAAAGAAGTATGAGGCTGTGCGTTCTATTTCAGTCACGGAACAAATGAACACAATGGTTCAAACTGTTAAGCTTTTCATGAACACGCTTTATTCTCCCATCTCTGAAAAGAGCAAAAGATGATTTGAGAACATCAACAATGCAGTGGTGAATTTCACCTACTTTTTTTATTTTGTGAGTGGGTTTTACACCTAGCCACCAAGGAGGCAGGCCACTGAGCTCCTTTCATCTCTGTTCTATTGGCAAATCAAATATGCACAAATAGTCCAAATATATATCAAATATGTATAGCTCATCAACACTGGATGAGCTCGCATAAGTGTGGGACATAATTCATTCATCTTTCTTTTCCCCACAGTAGCTAACAAAGTCCTCTGCATACAGTCAGTGCTTAATAAGTGCATAATGAGTACATGAGAAAAGGGATTTCTTTGACATCGTATACTAAAATATATTTTACACAGTTGTACTTACAATTGAGGACAAACTGTGAACAAAATAGTTTTCTGTGTGCCTTGGTTAAAGCAGTGATTCTCAAATTTTAATGTGTCAGAATCACCTGGGACACTCGTAAAACTCTAGCTTGTTGGGCCTTACCCACAGTTTTTAAATTCAGTTGATCTGGGGCCATTTGCATTTCTAACAAGTTTCTGGTGGATGCTCATGCTGCTGGTCCAGGGCCCACACTGTGAGAACTCTGATGTATGGTTTCTCTCTCTCTTAAATAAGAGATAAGATTATCAGCCTACCTGGCACTGGGGCCCACCTCATCCATAGAGTGGAATTGTGAACCTCTTTTCCAATAAAAGGGCAATTTGGCAGAAATATATGAGAAGGCCGATGAGGGTCTGGGAGCCAGAAGGATGTGCTTTATGCTTTTTATGTAATCTACTAATAGCCAGGCCAATTCTCATTTTCAACTTTTAGCACACTAACCCTTTCCTTCCATGAAAGGCATCTCTCCTACATCTTTTTTAAAGGTAAGGTGTGATGTAGACATTAATAAAGAAAAAGTATGAACTTGAACCCCAACTAGGCTCTAAAAAATAAGTTACTTGAATTTGGGCAAATTAACCCCTATAACATTCTTTCTGTCACTAGCCCTGAGGATAATTTTGTGACTATTTCTCTTTGTGTTGCATGTGTTAAAAACTGGGAACAGCTGTTACCCAAAACACGGGGGGTGATCATGCCCTACATCCTGCAAGTATAGTACCCCTGGTAGTGGGCATGAAGTGATTAAACAGAACCACCTGGAGCTTCTGGGCCCTGGGAGGATGTTTAATGGTGTGATACAGGAAGCGTGAGGGAAACACAGAATACGAGATCCATTTCAGCTCACGTTCTAAGCCGAAAGAGACTCTTCCCTCCAAATGAGTTTTAAAGTCCCTTTCCATTGCCACAGTTTGCCACAAATGCTGGCCCCCTCTGCAAAGAAAACACCATCCCTACCAGACAGACTGCAGAAAGTATGATCGGGTTAAGGCAAGAGAGCTGTAAAATTATTCAGCCATTTCTTTGTTAACAGGTAAAGCAGCTCACCTATACTTTACACATTGGAGGGAAACAGGAGCATCTGGAGATATCAATTAAGACTCAGTCTGAAACTGTCTTCTGAACAAGAAGACAGCAAAGATAAAAATCAGCAATGAGTTTTCTGAATCAAAAAAAGCAGACTGTCCCAACATGGCAGCTAGCAAAAACAAATTGGAGTGGTTTACACAAGAAAGAATCTATAAATCCTGAAAACAAAATTCAGACAAGCCAAAATCAGTGCAGGCACATTGATTAGGGGCTGTTACTAGTTCACCAGTGATCCAGAACTAGACCTTGATGTCAGGCTTCACAGTAAGTTCTTTTGCAGACGGATTCATTCTCAAATCTGTTTGTCATCTCCATAATAAACTTAAAGAACTTTCAAGACATTTTCATGTATAAATACCTGGATTTTAGAGGCTTCTGCTTTATCCTAAGGGGTCAAGATTCTGATATGGGGAGTGGACAAAATTAGATCAAGGAATCCTCTTTATAAAGTGTTCTACTAATAAGACATATCTGTCTTTTGATTCATCTTATACAAAACACCCTGAGTACTGATTTATAGTATGTGTAATTACAACATTAACCCAAAAGACAATATTTCTTAAATCTTTCTTCCTGGCACAGGAAGCTAGCCAATCTTGCCCATGTGTTTCCACATTCTTTGTTTTGTAAGGATTGTCGATGGCTGATGGTGAGGGAATTTCTTCCACTGCAGTACTGAGCTACTGTAGTCACTTTCCTGGTATGCATAATCACTAGAGCTGCTTCTCATCCCAGAAAGCCTGAGCCCACTTCTCCGAGAGTATTCACTCTCAGAAACCAGTAAAACTACCTACAAATCTTTTCTCATTTTTCAGGAGGCAGATCCTAGCTTTTCTTTTATTATTTCTCTTTCTTCCCCTTTCTCTCAATCATCATTTCTGCATAAAAGCCCCTTCAAACTTAGTGGTATAAAAGGACAATCATTTTACTGTGCTCACAATTTATGTGCTCACATTATTGTATGTCGAAAATTCAGGATGGCTTCATCAGTGGCACCTCCTCTCTGCTCCACAAAATCAGGATTTCAGCTGGGGCGATTTGAAGCTGGGAGTGACTCATCTAAAGGCTTGCTCACTCATCTGTTGGGGGGCTGATGCTGGCTTTCGTGTAAGCCCTCGGAGGGAGCTTGGGCTTCCTAACATTGTGGGGCTGGATTCCAAGGCTAAACGTCAAAAGAAAACCAGGCCAAAGCTGAATCACCTTTTATGAGTTCAGAAACCACACAGCATTACTTCCACGGGGGGTCACAGTGCTCCCCACATTAAAGACGGGGATAACTTGAGGCCTGATGGCACATTCTAATTTGCATAAAACCTTGTGAAAATATAACTATCTTGCTCAGGATTTACACAAGAAAGTTTAACTCCTTCTAAAAAACACATACAGAGTTTATTAGGCCTGAACAGATCAGTTTTGGCATAATACAATCAGCCGTGTCACCTGTCCCTTCTTTCTATCCTGCCTCCAGCCTCTATTCCAGGAATCACTTTGGGTTCCGTTCACCATTTGCTTTCTCTCACTCCTCCTCTCCACAGAATATGCTTTATAGGTATTTTCTTCTTCTCTGAAATTCAGTCATATCCTTATCACACAGTGCTGTCAGAAGTAAACGAATATTTTATGAAAACACCCAGCAAAATATCTGACATTAAACAGGCACATATTTTTATTTAAATATAATTAACATACAATTAACTACATACACATAAAGTATATAATCTAATGTTTGGACTTATGTATACACTCATGAAGCTATCACCACAAACAAGATAATTAACATATCTGTCACCCCCTAAAGTTTTCTTGGACCCCTCTGTAAAACCTCCCTCCCATCTCTGCCCACCCCTAAATCCAAGCAACCATTGACACCCTTTCTACAGATTAGTTTGTATTTTCCGGAGTTTTATATAAATAGAATCGTACATCATATACTTCTTTGTGGGGGTGGGAGAAATCTAGCTTCTTTCACTCTGCATTATTTTGAGATTCATTTACACCATTATGTATATTCATAGTTCATGGCTATTTGCTTCTCAGTGGTATTCCATTATATAGATACGCCACAATTTTTTTATTCATTCATCTATTAGTCTGTTCAGGCTTCCATAACAAAATATCATATACTGGCTGGTTTAAACAACAGAAATTTATTCCCTCACAGTTCCGGAGGCTGGAAGGCCAAGATCAGGGTGCCAGCGTGGTCAGGTTCTGACGGGGACTCTCTTTCCGGTTTGCAGATGGCTGCCTTCTCCTTGCGTCCTCACACGGTGGAAGAGAGCAAGTGAGTTCTGTGGACTCTCTTCTCATAAAGACACTAATCCTATCATGCTAGGGCCCCACTCTTATGATCTCATTTAACCTGAGTTACTTCCTTACTCCAAATATAGTCACGTTGAGGCGTAGGGCTTTCAGCATACGAGTTTGGGAAGACACAATTCAGTCCATAGCAACTCATGTGCTGAAGACATTGGATTGTTTGCAGCTTTTGGCTATTACAAATGAAGCTGCTATCGACACTTATGTACGAGTCTTTGTATGGGTATATATTTTCTTTTCTCTTGGGTAAATACTTATGAGTGGAATGACTAGAATCATATGGTAGGAATATGCAGTTTTTGTTTGTTTTTAACTGCCAAACTGTTTTCCAAAGTCTTTTTACCATTTTACATTCCCACCAGCAATGTATGAGTGTTCTATTTCTTCCATATCCTCGCAGACCCTTGGTATGGTCAGCTTTTTGGGTTTTCTTTTTCATCTTGGTCATTGCAATAGGAGTGTCATAGTATCTCACTGTGATTTCAGGTCGTAATACCCTAATGACTAACAATGGTGAGCATCTTTTCATGTTATTTCTTTTCATGTGCTTATTTACCATCCATAAAGAGAAATGGTGGATGATCCAGATGTATTTGCCCATTTTTAATTGAGTTGTTTTCTTATCATTGAATTCTGAGTTTTCTTTTTATTTTCTAGATACCAGTCCTTTATCGGGTATATGCTTTGCAAAGATTTTCTCCCAGTCTGTGGCTTGTCTTTTCATTCTCTTAACAGTGTCTTTTGAAGGACAAGAGTTTTTGATTTTGATACAAATTCATCCATTCAAATTCATCCATTTGTTCTCTCATAGACTGTGCTTTTGGTGTCATTTCTAAAGATCTTTGCCAACTCAAGGTCACAAAGATTTTCTTCCATGTTCTCCTCTAAAACGTTCATGGTTTTAGGTTTTATCTTTTGATCTATAATGCATTTTGAGTTTGTTTTTGTAGATTGTTAGGTATGAATTCAGGCTTTTTGACATGTTGT